GATATCCAGTTATGCCAGCACCATTTGTTAAAGAGACTGTCTTTTCCCCAATTAACAGACGTTGGGCCTTTGTCAAATATCCAGCTGCTCATAGGTGGATGAATTTATGTCCAGATTCTCAATTCTGTTCCATTGGTCTATGTATTCGTTGTTGTACCAGTACCACGCTGTCTTGACTACCGTGGCAGTATAGTACGTCTAAAATCAGGTAGTGTAAGGCCTCCCACTTTGTTCTTCTTCTCGAGTAGTGCTTTATTTATAACTCTTAACTTCTTACTGCTCATAAAGTCCACCAGTTCTCTTATAGTTGTTCTTTAGTTGATATATGATCATGTACTCTTTTCCTATTCATTGGTACCATTGGAATGATTAGAGTCTTGGCGTTAAGATGATGCACTTTTAGAGCTTATATATTTATGTTTCAAGCCTGGATCTGTAAAGGCATATTGATACAGGAGATTTTAAGATTTTAGAAAACCATAAAATCTGTTCTTCAAGTTGAAATATATACAGCATATTGTTCCTAGATTAAAGTTAAACTGATAAGGGGACTCAAAGATGAAATCTGAATAGAGCATGTAATCTTTATGATGACATTCCTTAGGGAATATGTAGATTTTTGGCAAATATTAAGGAATGGTATACATGACCTTTGGGAATATGATCTGAGTAATCATATTTCCGTAAATTATTTTTGGATTAAGGAAGAGTAATATGTACTCTGTCTCTTTCACTTATGTGTCTATTCCGCCTTTCCTTCAGATATGGGCCAGCGTTTTTTTTGTACCATGCCTCTCAAAAAGAATTTTTGCAACCCTTGGAAAGGAGTCTGCCACAGTATTTACCTACTCTCCAAAACAATGGATGTGGAAATGTTTATATAGAGCCCTAGTTTTCTGCTAAATCACATGTCCAACCAGAATTGTATGTTTTCTGTGCATCCACCTGTTAACTGCTTTTTCAGTATTCATTAAGACTTTTATTGCTCCCTTGTTGGGCATTTTGCATTTCTAAAACCATGAAATGAATTACTTTTATTTATTTCCATGCCCTAGATTCAATCTGATGAATTAGAAATTCTAGACTTTAATTTATCTAAACCTTCATTTTTCTTAGATCCATTCTAAGCAGACTCAGACTATTTGTTATACATTTATCATATTAGAGATACCATATCACAATATTATAGAACTAGGAGGACTTCAAGAATCATGTTTCATATATGAAGATAGATCATTTGTTCTTTTCCTAAAGATTTCCAGGGATTAAGACCCTTGATTTTTGAGAGACTAGAGTATTTTTTATCCTTGTATGATGGCTTTTTCTCCTTTATTTAAACCCATTTTTCAAGAATGGAATACAACTAGGATCATTTATAACAGTTGTGAAGCAGGATAGGTGGCTCAAAATGCTATTACAAAAAATACTGCTACAACAAAAATTCTTTGAGTTACATATATTCTCAGATTGTAACAATATAATTATTGATATACAAATATTCTGGTTCCATAGAATTTGGGCGGTTTCTCAGTGAGATTTGACCTAGCATGTTTTGCCTCTAAAGGGCAATAATAAAAACACCAGCTCATCTTTGGCACATGTTATGGCCCCTTGTTGATGGACTATATCTTGATAAAGACTGATAAGTCTTAATAGCAGTGGTTCTGATTTTTAATAATTAGTTTCTGCTTACTTTGTAGACAAGAGAGAATTTGTGCGTGTACGTTATGAAGTGCTTGCTGATACTGAATATGTAATTGGGAGGGAAAGTAAGAAGTCAGATTCCATTAGGAAAACAGAAAGAAATA